GAACATGGGCAGGTGGAGCAGGGGCAGGTGGAGCTGGGGCAGGTGGAACATGGGCAGGTGGAGCAGGGGCAGGTGGAGCAGGGGCAGGTGGAACATGGGCAGGTGGAGCTGGGGGGGCAGGTGGAGCAGGGGCAGGTGGAACATGGGCAGGTGGAACATGGGCAGGTGGAGCTGGGGGGGCAGGTGGAGCAGGGGCAGGTGGAGCTGGGGCAGGTGGAGCTGGGGCAGGTGGAGCAGCCCTCTGTGCCCGCGGGGCAGCGCCTCGTGCCCTCAGGACGGGCAGCCCAGGTCACTGCTCTTGGGTGGTGTCTCCCATAACAGCATCCAGGTGTTCCACTGCCTGAAGCACGAGGGCACGGGCGGGCGGACGCTGCTGGTGGACGGTTTCCACGCGGCGGAGCAGGTGCTGCGCCGGGCCCCGGAGCACTTCGAGCTGCTCAGCAGAGTGCCCCTGAAACACGAGTACGTGGAGAACGTGGGGGGCTGCCACAACCACATGATCGGGGTGGGGCCCGTGCTCAACGTGTACCCCTGGAACAACGAGCTCTACCTGATCAGGTAACGTCCAACGTGAGGCCTCTTGCTCGTGGGGTGGTTTTCCAGGAGAGGCCGTGAACTAAAAAACCCGCGTGGTTTTGAGGGGCATGTTTTTGAGTGTCCCTCCCGCTTCAGAGGAAGCGTCAGAACTGCCCATACAAACGTGGAGGTCGGTGCTGAGCTTTCATTTCTCACTCCTGGCATCCTCCCTGCAGCTCCATGCCCTCCCTTTGAGCGGCAGAAGAATTCAACCCTTGTCTGGAGAAGGCCCTAGGAGCTCTCCTGGCATGCAGGGAACAGGGAGAGTGCAGATTGATCCTTTCTAGAGGAAATTTGGGCTGATTTTTTTTTTTTTGGAACTCCAGTTTGGCTCAGTGCTGAAGGTTGTCCAGCACTGCTTTGCACTTTTAGTCTGGACAATCCTCAGACTCACCACATCCTTCCATGGAAAACCAGGAAGAAGAGGTTTACCTTGACAGGAAACTCCTCTTACTCCCGGTGTTGTGTATTCCCGATAGTCCTGCTCTTGCAGCGTGACCTCCCTGGTCATGTCTCCATCCTCCCTTAAATACTGACTAACCCTGCAGGCTCCTGAGGTTCCCTTGGAAGCAGCTGGAGTGATGCTGGGCCGTCCCTTGTCTCTTTTTCCCCCCTGTAGGTACAACAACTACGACCGTGCCGTCATCAACACGGTGCCGCACGACGTGGTGCGCCGCTGGTACCACGCCCACCGCGCGCTCACCACCGAGCTCAGGCGGCCAGAGAACGAGCTGTGGGTCAAGCTGAAGCCAGGCAAGGTGGGACTTGGAGCTGGATAATGTGGGTTTGGTCCAGGGAAGGAAGCAGGGTGCTCCACGGGTGTCCTGCCGCTGAGCTGAAAGCTCCACGTGTGGCAGCTTTCCTCCCTCCAGCTGCTTCGAGGTGCCTTGTGTTATAGTAGTGGCCTCTGTGTGTGTCTGTGTGTTCCTGCTGTCCTAAAGGAATGTGAGCTTCCAGGTGAGGCAGAAATGTTTAGGTCAAGCTCTGCCTCAGGGAACTTAGTCTCAGCTGGGGGAGAGAAGTAAGATCTTTCCAGTCACTGAAATGAGGACCCTCGGGAGCAAAGGGGATGAAACACGTTGAGTTCAGCCTTTAACTTCTTCCAGAAGATAAGTTTATTTTGATGGAACTGAATTACAGTTCTGAGGTTATATTTGACTCCTTACGTGGGTGAGACCACAGAGGCAGGAGATTGTGGCTGCCCTATCCCTGGAAGTGTCCAAGGCCAGGTTGGAAGGGGCTTGGAGCAACCTGGGATAGTGGAAGGTGTCCCTGCCCATGGCAGAAGAATGGAATGGGATGAGCTTTAAGGTACCTTCCAACCCAATCCATTCTTGGATTCTGAGATGGCCACTGGCTGTTGCTGGTGAACTATTGCCCAACCTCTGCAGTGGAGAAGCAGAGAAACAGCCCAGAATTCTTCTGTTTTAGTACCTGTCGTCTTCTAGGCACAGCTCCTGGCTCCAGGTGAAAGAGCTGTGCTGGATCCCATGGCTGCAGCCTCACCGTGTTGAACAGGAGGGTCATGCCTACCATGGCACTCCCTTACCTGCTCTTTCAGTCTCCAGGGATCTCCAGGACCTCTCCTGCCATGGTTGCTCTCCTGCTGATGACCTTTTCCCTGTCCTGCAGGCCCTGTTTGTGGATAACTGGCGTGTCCTGCACGGCCGGGAGGCGTTCACGGGGTACCGGCAGCTCTGCGGCTGTTACCTGACCAGGGACGACGTGCTCAACACAGCCCGGCTGCTGGGGCTGCAGGCTTAGCCCAGCCCCCGGGAGGGGCAGGCAGCCCCCAGTCCCACCTCTGGGGGGGGGAGCAGGCAGCCCCTAAATCCCTCCTCCAGGAGGGGCAGCATCCCCCCAATCCCACTTGTGCAAAGGGCTCCCCAGTCCCACCTCCAGGAGGAACAGGCAGCCCCCCAATCCCACTTGTGAGAAGGGCTCCCCAGTGCCACCTCCAGGAGGGGCAGACAGCCCCCTAATCCCTCCTCTTGGAGGGGCAGGCAGCCCCCCAATCCTACCCATGGGAAGGGCAGGCAGCCCCCAATCCCACCCCCGTGGTGGGACAGGAATGCTGGTGCCCCTCCCCGTGCTCCAGGCCCGTCGTGCTGGTGCCTCCCCATGACACAGACATTGCACATACCTCAGACATCTCCACCCTCTCCAGGCAGCTCCCAGTGCCTGCTCAGGAGAGGGAGCAGGTGGAAGCCAAAGGTTTTGTGATCTTTATGGGACTGCCTTTGAGCACAGTCAGCTCTTGCTGTCCGTGCTCCCAGCCTGGCCTTTCCAGTGTGCCTCAGCTCTGGTTAAACCCCACCTTAGGAAATGCTCCTCCAAGCAAGTGCCTTCAGGATTTAGAAGCTTTGCATTATTCCCTGTTCAGCCTTTTTTTTTCAGCTGCCAATTTTAGGAATTTTTTTAGCAGAGCAGAGTGGAAATCTTCGGGATCTTCTCCTTGTCACTCATCCAAGGTGTGCTGCCTGGAGAGATCCTGGGCATTTCTGAGGAGATTTAGGTTAGAGCAGGAAAAGGGAAGCAGCAAGATCTGCATGTTGGGAAGCAGAGCTGACCATGTTAGATGAGGGGTGGAATTCCCACTTTTCCTTGACTTCCAATGCTGCCCTGCTGGTGTCCCCTCTGCCTGTGACACTCAGCAGCCACAGTATTTGCTGACAAACTTCCCACTGTGCCTTCTCTCCCATCCTTTCTTAAGGAATTTGTGTGAGGTTGTCATCACGCTGCCTGCTGCACAAACCTGACCTTTTGGGAATGTTTTTTTTTCCCCAAAATTTTCCTGTTCTGACGGTATCAGAGGTGCCTTTCAGCTCCCAGGAGATGGGAGGGTAAGTTGGCATCTGGCACACTGAAAGGCCACGGGGTAAGGAACAAAAGCACATCCTTTTGTTACAAGAACGTTGGAATTTCAGAACCAAGAGGGCATTTTAGGATTTGATTATTTTTCATCCTTTTTGGGGTGTTCCCTCTGCCCTGACCAGACCTCAGAGCAGGGCTGAGCCCTTCCTGGCTGTGCCGTGTGAGCTGCTCTGTGCCCACGGTGCAGGCACTGAACTTGCTGCCTTCATTTGATCCAAACACTGAATGGACAGATCCCACTGTTTGTTCTTTATAGGTTCTCCTTAGGTGCCAGTTCCACCTGCACAACTGAGAGGGGAAGTTTCACAACTCTCCATTAATCCTGTTGAAGCAGAAAACCCCAGCAGGAGCATGTGGTGTCCCTCACCCATCCCAGCTTTGTGTTCCAGAGTTGCTTCCACCCTGTGCTGCTGCTGAGGGAAGAGTTGGTGCCCAAAACAGTCAGTTACTTGTAAAAAGGAGGGGGCAAAGGGTTCTTGGTCTGTATTTGGAACCCTCTTTAAATTCTTTAAGGGTTCCTGAGCTTTTTTCCTCCCTGTGCCCCTGGGATTTGAGGGAAACACTTGGGTACCATGGGACCTTCCCTTGGAGAGATCAGCTTCTCTTTCCCCTGCTCAGAACTCCATGTTTATCAGCTGCAGGCTGGAAGTCTGTTTTTACTCCATGGCACAAGGGAGACCCCACCAAGGGTGCTGACCACACTGTCATGACAGAGGTGCCTTTGTGACAAGGAATGTGGTGACTTGGGCTGGGCTCTGCAGACACCAACTCCTCATGAACCAGCCCCAAGCCAACCCCCTCCTCACCAGGACTCTGGAACCTATTTGGGGGGAAAATTGTCCCCAGTGAATGCAGAAGAAACACATTTCCTCGTATTTCAAATCCTTTACCCACCCCCACGATAAACAGGGAGTGGGGAGAGCTGTGTTTCCATCTTGTTTCACCATTCCTCGCTTCCCAAGAGGGCTGAATTCTTCCTGGGCATCCAAAAGTCCTGTGAAGGAGCAGGACCTGGTGGCAGGTGCCACCTGTCCCATCCAGGTGTTTGCTGGGCCGTGTCCTGGAGCGGGGCCGCCGTGACAGCGGGTCAGGGTTTGTGATCCAGCTTTTCCAGTTCCTTCAGCCAATCACTGAACTGCTTTCTCCTCCTTCCCAGCACTCTGGGGATCCAATGGATGTGTTTAAGATTTTTCCCAAACTGAGAAATCGACTCTTCAAATAAATCATTTATAAAGTCATCAGCCTAACCAAAGATGTATTTAAGCACTGATGAGCTTGAAGATAAGTCTGGTTTATGCAGCCGAGGGGGGAATGCACATGAGGAGCCATAACCCAGTGCATCCCACTTGGCTTCTCCTCGTTCCTGCTTTCCCTGGCCACACGATGGCACAAGCTGCCAGAAATTGGTGTTTAAAAAAATCCACGAGTCCCATCCCAGTGCGGTCTCGGCGTTCCCGGTGGTGCCGGCGCTGTTTGTTCTGCTGTGCTCTCTCCATTTCTTTGGAGAAGCCCCGGAATTGCTGTTCAAAGCCTCTGTGGCTGGGAACGTTTTTAAGGAGCCGTGGGATGCCGTGTCCATCGTGGCAAAGGGTGGAGCAGGGAGCGGGAATGATGTGAGGGAATTGGAGAGCTCGGTTTGGGGGATCCGAGGGTGCCTGGAGGAAAGTGGAGCTGGTTTGAAGGCAGCTGAGCCCCGCCCAGCCTGGTGGGACCCGGTGTTGGTGTGTACCCCGGGATCCTCCGTTCCCATCAGCACATCCCAGGGCCCCCACTTTGGTCCCTTCTGCCACTGGGGCTGTCCCTCCCTCACCTTGTGCACCCTGAGCAATCCCCCCACCCCACACACCCCTTTGCTTGCCTCCACTCACCCTCTCTCCTCTCCAGGCTGCTCCGTTTGCCCTCCGGTGCCCCCCCACATCCCTGTTTGCTCCCTTGTCCCCCCAGGACCCCAATTCCTCCCTTGAGACCCCTTGGCTGTGCAATGCAGCCCCTCCTTCAGCTTTTGGGGCTTCCCAGAGTCCTCAGCCCTACAGTGAAACCAAACCACCCCATTTTCCCTCCAGTGTGTCCCAGAGCTTTCTGCCTTCCCACAGTGCAATCCCACACCCCCTTCTCACTCCCAGCTCTCAAAATTCTTCTGGTGCAGCTTTTGGTGCAACCCCTTGGCCTTCCTCTGGTGCCACCAGGAGCCTTTGGCTCCTCACAGGGCTCAGGTGAAACAGAAGTTGCTTCTACCCCAGCTGAAAATCGTTTCCTTTTTTAGCTTCACTCCTCATTTGGGGCTTGGAGCAGCCTGGCAGTGGAAAGTGTCCCTGCCCATGGCAGAAGGTGGAACAGGATGGGCTTTAAGGTCCTTCCCAACCCAAACCATTCTGAGATTCCATGGATGTAACAAACTGAGGAACAGTGGGGGAAAAGGTGAGGAGGCAGGTGGGGAAAGAAAAGGTCAGGAAGCGGGAAAAGGAATGGGAAGGTGAGTGTTGGGCACATGGTGGGAAGTGCTTTGGGAGGTGGGAGTTGGGGGCTGGGTTCCCTCCCTGCCTGGTGGCCGGGGCTGATGGAGCCAAGGGGTGCCACTGTGTTGGTGCTCTCCAACCATCCACATCCACCCCCTTTCTCCTAATGCTTCCCCCAGGGCTCTCCTGTCCCAGCATCTGGCTTTGGAGCTCCATGGGAGTCGCAGGGTCTGGCTGTGCTCAGCAGGGCAGGAAAGCTTTCCCAGCACTCGGGGGCAGAGCCCAAACCTTCCCCAGCCCCTCATCCCTCTGCACCCTCAGTCTGGAGATGACACTTGGTCCCCAGGCCCTGATCCCAGGAGCGTCTCTTCCTTAAACTGAAATTCCCTTTGCAGGAAGCCGGTGGGACATGGATGATCCCAGCCCACCTCCAAAAGTTGGAGGGAAAAGCTGCTCCCAGTGGGACGAGTGTTTTGGAGCCAGGCCGAGCCCCTGCCCCCCAAACCGGGGTGGGAGCGAGTTCAGGCTCCACTGGGGGAGCTGAGCTCCAGGGATGGGGGGGAGAGGAGCTGTGGGAAAAGAATAGGGATGGATCTTCTGCCCTCGGGGCATAGAAATGGTGTGGGATGTCCCCTGTAACTCCCATTCCCGTGGGACCCCCCTGCCCTGCCCCGGCAGAGCCGCAGGAGCCGCTGGTCCCCGCTCGGTGCCGGAGCCGTCGCAGCTCTGCCTTCCCTTCCCATCCCCGGGAGCGCGGGGACAAGAGCGGGAGCTGTCACTGCTGCCGGGAAGGCTCCCGGGAAGAGGAGGCGGCACGGAGGGAGGGGAGCCATCGGCAGCAAAACAGGCTGGGAATACCCACGGCGTCGGGGATCCATCCTCACGGCGGCGAACGTGACGGTACAGCCTCACCTGGGCTCTCATCCCAGCGGGGGAATTTCCAGGGGATATTTGAAATCGGGGAAACTCGGGGCTGTTCTTCCTTGGCAGATGCTGCGGTGCCGTCCCGCGGAGCTGCTGGGGATCACCTGGGTGCTCCTCGCAGGTAAGGTGGCCCCGGGCTGGGCTGCGCTGGGAGCCGGTGCCGTCCCGCGGGCTCCGCGCCAGGTCCTCGCCTGCTCCAAACCCCCGGAGAGGCTTCGGCGGAGCTTTGGAGCTTTTTGGGAGGGGTAAAAAGCTTAATCTGGAACGGAAAGGGGGAGGGGGGTGTCCAGGGAGAGTGAAGGTGGGAGAGCCAGGCACAGCTCCGGGAATAAAAGTCGGCTGCAGACAGATTTATAGTGGGGCTGAGAGATGTAATAATGCAAAAATAAACACATATATATTAACATATATACATATGTGTTAAAAATATATATGTAAACCCCCAGATTTCATTGCAGTTATGTGAGCAATGACACTGTGCTCCTTAGGTACTCACTGGCTGCCTGGAAACACAAATCATAGAGCTATGGAATGGTTTGGGCTGGAAGGGTCCTTAAAACCCATCCCGTTCCACCCCCTGCCATGTGCAGGGACATCTTCCACTATCCCAGGTTGCTCCAAGCCCTGTCCAACCTGGCCTTGAACACTCCCAAGGATGGGGCAGCCACAGCTTCTCAGGGCAACCTGTGCCAGGTCCAAATGTACAAAGATTTTTAGGATGAGCATCTGAGATAGAAAGGAAACCCATTACCCTATACTTCAATTTTGGAATGGTGTCAGTGAGCTCTGAGGGTCTGTAGGATGAGCTTTGGCCATTGCAGCTGTAAAAGATTCCTGGGATGAAGTGTTTCCCCTTTCCTTCAGCTTGTGGTTCTGCATGTTTCGTATAAACAGTGTTTTCCCAGAGAAAAAGGGGTTTTAGTCATTTAGTCACAGCTACAGTTTGGGGGGCAGAAAGGCACAAAAATAGCTGGTTTCCAAGATCATTAGAATGAGACATTGAAATCACCAGGTGAACTTGATTCACCTGGATTGTCCCATCTATTTTCTTTCCCACCTGTGCTGCAAAATCCCCCATGACAATCCCCAGTGGGAGCAGCAGGACTGTTTCCAGGGCTGTTTGCTGTCTCTGGAGGTGCAGTGGGAATGCAGGTGAACAGCTGCTTATCGAGGCAGGAGGTGAGACACCATGAAGAGCAAACACAGGCTGTGTAGCCTGTGAGAATCCCCCCTGTGAGAACTGCCCCTCACTGCCAGGCTCTGAGGCTCAGGAAGATGTTTTCATCCCATCTCATTTGTTGGGAACTGTGGCTGAGGGTGTTTGGGGTCGGGTGTCTGGAGATGGACTGGGATCTCTTTCCTTCTTTTCCTCTTCCCCTTCTCTTTCCCTCCTTTAACCTCACCTTCTGATTTTTTTAAAGAATCCACTTTACAAGATCAGGCTGCAGTATTGATTTCTGCCCAGCTTTCCTAGAATCCTCATTTTTTGGAGGGGGAATGGGAGCTGTGACCTTCCCACAGCAGCTCCTCTTGAAGTCCTCGAGCACCTGCGAGAGCCCAAGTTGTGACAAGCACGGGAATTTTGGGGAAGTGGCTGCATCCCCCAGTGCTGGGAGTGTGTGGACATGTTCAACCCCAAACAAGACTGGGAATTCTGTGGCTGCCCCATCCATGGAAGTGTTCAAGGCCAGGCTGGAGGGGACTTGGAGCAGCCTGGTCTAGGGGAAAGTGTCCCTGCCTATGGCAGGAGGCGAAACAAGATGAGCTTTGAGGTCCCTTCCGACCCAAACCATTCCAGGATTCTATGAACTGGGAATAAGCCATGGAAATTAGGTCAGGATGACAAAACCTCAAGTAGGAGAATCCAGTTCCACCCCCCTGCCATGGGCAGGGACACCTTCCCCTAGACCAGGTTGCTCCCAGCCCCATCCCAGCCCCTCTCCCTCTCCCCAGTGCCACTGGTGCCGTTGCCTCAGGCTGTGGGAGCAGCAGGACCCCCCCGGGGAAGAGCTGCTGCTGCTGTGGGATCTTCTGTGCTGCTCCCTGGGCTGGATGACGTCACTCACAGTCATTCCACACGATGGGAATATTCCAATGGCACCAGCACCCACACCATCCTGCAGCACGAGAGGGGCTCTCACACCCCAGCCATCCACGCGCCCTACGTGGGACGAGTTGTGTTCCATGCATCCAACGGATCCCTCACGCTGGAGAATGTCCAGGAAAGCGACAGTGGCATCTACAGGGTGACTGTCAGCGGGGAAGACAGAGAGAGCCTGGAAATCCTGCTGGAAGTCCTCAGTGAGTGGTGGGTGTGGGAGGGAGGAGCGGGGCAGTGGATACAGGTAGAGCCATGGTGGAATTTGACTGTACATGGACCATCGGCCGGATCAAGGGGGTTGGAGAAGGGATTCTGAGCAAAGGCTGGTGGGCCAGGCCTGAGCTTGTTTGAACCTGTCATGTATGGAGATAGCACCAAGGAGACCTTGGAAAGAGGCTCCCACCCTGTCCTAGGGGAGAAGATCTGGTGGTGCTGCCCAAGGAGACCTTCTAGGAGGCCCGGCTGAGACAGAGGGCTGGGCTCCATCCTGGAAAAGAATTCCCTCCTTTGTTTTCCACTCTTCAGTCCAGGGATAGAGGGACCAGTAGGAGGATGGAGGGACTGGTGGGATGATGGAGGGACTGGTGGGATGACAGAGGAACTGGTGGGATGATGGAGGGACTGGCTGGAAGATGGAGGGACTGGTGGGATGATGGAGGGACATCAGAGGGACTGGTGGGATGACAGAAGAACTGGTGGGATAACAGAGGGTAGGATAACAGAGGGAAGATGGAGTGACCAGTGGGATGACGGAGGG